AAATTATAAAGTTTGAGAACTTAATTTGCTATAACAAAACATTTCATTAAGGGCAAAATTGACTTTTACACAAAAAATCCAAATTGGTCATTTGACCTGGCTATTTTGAAAAATCCCCCCGAAAAAACGAATGATTGTTTATTATTTGGTACCATCTCTTCGATACACACATGAATTTGAACACACATTTTGGTGGTAATCGAATTAATATTTCGATCAAGACATCGTTGGATACGTCCATGAAAACTAAAGCTAAAATTATGTATGTAAATGCAAAATCTTTGAGGTTTTATTTTCTGATTATGTAGGTGAATATTAAGGCGGTCAAATACATAAATTGACAATATATTTTTCTTTTGAATTCCAATTAAATACCCAAATCCAATCTATAATGGCAAGAATAGGTAATGGTACGTAACATGTGTTTTTAATATAATAATTACATCACATGCTTATTATGGCATGCCATTGAAAATAAAAATTAAAAAAAGTAACAAAAATTGATAATTTAAAAGTGAAAACTCGAAAAAGTTTATATGTAAAACAAAATAAATAGGGCTTTAAACGGAATAATTAGCACGTGTCTTGACAAATGTGCTTTACACTCTTATTTAGGCTCTTAAATTGCTTATAATTAATTAATAGGGATGACTTCTACTCATATTTGTGTAAATTTTGTGTTTTTTAGGTCAAAACCCCGACTAAAAGGATGGATTTGCATTAATATCGGGAGTTGGGGGTACTTGATTTGGTGCTTTGGAGAGTTGATTGGACGAATTTATAAATTTTGGAGACCAAATTTTCCATTTGGAGATCTTGGGAGTCAAAATGGATGAAATAAAAACTTTGGGATTAAATCGATCTGTTTATATCTTGAAGGACCAAAATATAGGAAAACAAAAATTGGAGGACTAAATTAGAAGAAGTTGAAAACAAAGGGAACAATGTGGACATATTTGAAAGTTCAAGGGCCTAAATTGATAAATCTCAAACTTGGAGGGATCAAATTGAAGATACTTAAAACTTGGAGGATCAAAATGTAGGAATATAAAAATTGAGGGCTTGAGGTCGCATGTAGGCAGCATGTTCCTAAAATTCGATCTCAGCTGATATCAGGCTTGATGGAAATTTTCTTATTTTCAACTGAAAATCAAGGATAATTTGAGTATTTTCAAGGGATACAATTTTGATATAGGAAGATCCGAGACAGATGATGCCGAGTTGTCTGACAACTCCTTGATGGATCTGAGATATCATGATTTGGCGGATTAGTGTAAAAATGACAAGTAATCGACGATTTTTTCTAATTGTGGCCGTTTTTGAACACATTTCGATATTTTGGCCATAACTTTAACTGCTATTATTAGAATCGCGCTCATGACCCCAATTCGGATAGCTCTTTTCGGTACACATATCGTGATCACCCAGCCTCGCTCGGTGTGCATTGATCTCGAGGGCAAATTTCGTTGTTTTCCTTTCTGAATCCCCATTTTAAGTTAATTTTTTTACATTTTTTAGTAATAATTCATTTGCTTTTTTAACATAGATTATGAATTCAAATTGAGCCGAGCTTTTGGGATATTATTTCTCTTATTACGTATTTTATTTTAGTATGAATATTAAAATTTTGCTATTTTTGATAAAATTTCGATAATTTTGATTTTTTGGCTATATAACCCGGTTTGTGGGTTATTTTCAGTTGGGTGAATAATAAAGATTTTTTTTGTTTTCTTGGCGTTTTCTCTTGCGTTATTCTCTGAAATTTATTCTGCAGAATATTCACTATTTTGCTCGGCGTCAAATTTTCAAAGCTATTTAAAGTGTAAAGCTAGATCAAGAAAAGAGAAGAAACTTGCTTTTGTGCTTCCCCCAAGTCCAATGAGGTCCTCTTAACGCTTAGACACCTAGTCTCGACTCATGCTCCAAACAATTGTTAGTTCGAAACCCTCTTCAATCTGAAGGTTTTGATCAAGGGTTCTCCAAACAACCTCCTAGGAAGGTCGGCCTTGGGCTAAGGACGCCAGTCTAGGCTTCGGTGTCCTATGGCATTTACACTTAACTCCTGTTTGACGATCGTTAAAAAGAGTTTTTTTTTTTTAAAGAAAATAAATTTTGAAATAGTGATTTTTTTGAAGAATGTGTGATAAAAAAGTACAAAAATATTTTAAATTTAGGTACAGAATATTTTATTGTGAAAATGTATAGTTGAAAATGAATTTGAAAAAATAAAAAAAGGTAGTTTTTTGTGTAAAAATGATTATGAAACAGGGGCTGGCTTTTGTAAACTGTTGGGACCAAATCAAGTATCCGGCCTCTGACCCCATCAGAGGTCAGCTTCTTCTCCAAAGGGAGGGTTTGCCTATTTTCCTAAACCAAAGCTCCGTCCCTAAGGTTCATCGGTTTCTGATCATCCTCGTACGTCTGCCTCAACGTGGTTCCTATGTGGAAGTGACTACGACTCCACGTAAGATGGAGGCGTAAGGGTTCTCCAAGCGAACCCCTACTATGCTAGTATATGGTATTGGAAGAGAGAGTATGTCTTTTCATACAGATTAATACGTTCAATACCACTAAATCCCAATATACATAAGAAGCATATTAATGGCTTTTATATATGAACAAGCAAAATGTCTGAAAGATTAAAGGAAAAAATCAGATACAAAATGAAGACCCAAAAAATGGTAGAGAATTCCAATCAATTATTACAGCTCCATCTTGATGTAGGCACACAGCTTAGATAATGGCACCAGCTACAGTGTTTGTTTGCATTTTCTCCTTTAAACAGCATAACCAATCCTACTGTGAACCTGCAAAATTGTGGGAAGCAAGCATAGATGTAGTCAGTTTTCGACATCGGGAGAATCGTGTATGGTATGTTGAGTTGAGTGGACTAGTCGGGACTACAAAGAATCACTCATTCGAGTATTCTTCAGTATCATGTAGAAAATTGAATGACACTTGACATTTGATTTGATCATATAATCTGCAAAATATTTATGAAAATAAAGCTTACCCAAGAATCAATAAAACTGCGGCAAACACCAAGAAAGCGTATTGGTAAACTGTATACTTGGACTTGAGGCGAGTATCGGCAGGAAGATGCCGACGTTCCAGCCAACCAAATTGGGGACGAATCAGCAATAAAAAGCCAAGGAGAAAACCACTCAAAAAACCTCCAATATGAGCAAAGTTGTCGACGTGTGGAAGAATTCCGACTGCCAAGTTAATTGCGATAATGACCACCAGAGTAATCAGAGCTGCCGCCTTTACAAACAACGAAAATTGTTAAATACTAATGAAAAACTGTTGATCTTATTTCTGATAAAAATCGGAAAAAACAGAAAAAGAGCATAAAAGTCTCACCTTATTGGAATAAATAGTCCAGTTGGTGAGTAACTCGGATAGCATTGCACCAAGAAGTCCAAATAGAGCACCAGAAGCTCCGACGGAGATACTTCTTTGAATAAAAAGGGCAGAGAGTATGCTCCCACCAATTCCAGACAGGAGGTAGATAAAACCGACACGTACTGCAATGGAGTCCAGATTGTCAATTTCAATCATAATATAATAGTGTCTACAACTAAAAGTGAAATGACTCTTACAGATAACAAAAAGCACAAATAAGGTTTAAGATATATACTAAATCCAAATTGCTGCTCAAGGCGAATTCCAATAAAAACGAGGCTCAGCATGTTGGCAAGTAAATGGATAACACCAGCATGCAGCCAGATACAAGTTATTAGACGCCATGCTTGATTTTGGTGAACTATTTTGTCCCATTCTAGCGCTCCCAGTTTTTCCAGTCTGCACAAGTAGAGGCAAGAATAATGTAATTTTTGAAGAGAGAAAGATTAAATCAATTACCCTGCAAGGGCACTTAAAGAAGCCTCCCCCCCCCTCAAAAACAAACACAACACAACATGAATTAAGCTGACATCTCATATTTGGTCTCAACTCCAAGAGAACTACAATTTTACATTAAGAAAAGCTACAATGATGATAAGCTGAAAATGATTCCAGTAGCAAACCTAGGCACGTGTTGAAATAGATCAATTTTGGAGGTAAAATCGTATAATTTTTAAAGATATTGTTACAACTCAACATGTAAACTAATGGAAGGGGGAAGTAACTATAACATTTGGAGGTGACTGAAAACTGCTCAAAATAGGAAAGAAGAATTGACAGTTTAAGATATGATATTGTTTGTTTCTTGGATATATTAGATCGAGTTTTATTCCACATTTTCTTTGTGTATTCTTTCAAAATTTTGATGGCCTATTGTGGTTTGCTAGGGATCTAACAAACCAGAATGGAGAAAAAGGATCACACTGCAGATTTTAAACCTATCGGAATTAGGCTTAGTTTGTTGATATTGCTTGCTATTCATGACCAAATATGAGACACTGAGCTACGGCGATCAATCAATTCATCGTCTCAAAAACACTTCCGTCAAGGCATTACATAACTCCAACTGGCCCCAATTATGCTCAAGATCCCATCCTATACAAATAATAAGTTACTTCAACCTAATAAAAGTGAAATTAGACTCAGCTTTTAACCAAAATCATGCTCGATTATTGCACTGTATAAAGGTTAAAAAAAACCATACACAATCAGATGTAAATCTGACCAAAAAATTGAGAGCTTCAAAATCCAGACCCAAAAACCCATCCTAAAATTTCAGTGCAACCAAGTAGTAATTAGCAAGCAAGGAAAAGTAGGTAACTAATTTAAGAAAAATGAAATTAATCAAGAAAAGTCACAGACTTGACTGTACAATCAAATCTCAAGAGTAAACACACTTAAAAGTCAACCATTAGTTTCCAAGCTAACAAATCGAAATGAACCCCAACAAATACTTCAAAAAATTAATCTAAGTTTCAATTCGAGAATCAAAAGGTTAAAAAAAAAAACAGAGAACCCCAAAAGATAAGGAAACCTTACGTTGATGAAGAAGGGCCAAAAAGGGGATTTTCCCTGAGAGGTTGAAATGAAAGTCTTCCAAGAAACTTAGCCACACATTCACCTTGAACCCCATTATGATTCTTGGGGCAATTATTTACAAACATGATTACCACAAACATGGCAACATTCGCCACAACGATCATAGGCACCAACCATGAAGTCCATTGGCTGTCTGAATAACCCACATCATATGTTCCTCCTGACGCATAATAGCTCTGTGGGTAGCTCTGATTTCTACTCTTTGTTGCTGTTCCTCTCTCCAGATCCCTATTTCCAATCATTTTTCTCTCTATTTCCACACAAACACGCAATACGTATGAATAATTGAATATCAAGCTGTATGTATAATATATTTATATCCCAGTATATGTCTTAGCTTCAAAGATGAGAGAATTGGTGGAGATTTCAATTTCAAGAACAAGGACTGGGCAACAGGGTTTGTAAAGGGATTGAATTTGAGTTGATTGCCACTTTCAATTTGTATTCGTTTGTTTGGTGAGCTGTGGATGTGTGTGCAAAAGGAAGTTTCGTCGGATGCCAAATGTGCCTTTTAAGGGGGATCCAACTTCGGAAATAATTAATATTCTTTTCTTTAAACTTTTCGTGTAATTTTTTTAATGGATAAAGAGACAATTTTACAACGTTTTGAGTAAATTATGGATTATCAAATCCGTGTCTAGGACGCGTACGATTTTTAATACGCGTGTGACCCAATTTTTCGAGTTTCTTTCCCGAGCAAGAAAAGGAGTATTAGGGGGAAAATTTTCCTCGCCCAGTTATTATTCGACAACCGTGGACCCAATTTTCTGAGATTTTTACCAAGTACGATAAGAAGTATTCGAGTGAAAGTTTTCTTTGCCTCGTTTTTTTGGTCATATATTTCTCTTTTGTACTTCCTTATGTTCGGTCACGTCTCTAACCTAGAAATTTAATAACAAAGAAAATAAGTAATTTGACCTTGCGTTCTTTATTTGGAGTACAAACAGATTGAATTATTGAAGAACTTTTAATTTTTCATTGACTGTGTAAAAAAATGTGACTATCTTTATTGCAAGTTGCACCACATAGTAGTGAGTTTTAATGTTTTATTTCGACAATGACAACTTAAGTAATTGTATTAAAAAGATGAATTGTCGATAAAAGTGTAATAGAAGTGTGTTAACTATTTGAATAGATCTCATGTCGTTGAAAAATGAAATCAATAAGTAATATCTAAAAACTTGGTTTATTCGTCTTAACAAGATTGATATTTTAAGATTGAAATCTTCCAATGTAATATCAAAACTCACTATGTTTAAACAAGCAAATTGATCCGTCTAAAACTCAAATGAGCACTCGAATTTCAGTATTATGTGATAAAAAAGTCATTATCTTGTCGAAGTTTATTAAGAGATAAATCTTATGTCTGTAAAAGATGAAATCAATAAATCAAAGTAAGAAAAATGAGACTATTCTTAACAATGTCAATCCGACATAATTAAGAATTAGGAAACTATAAACCCATAAACGTTTTACATTGTTTAGACTAGAATTAGTACACGATTATTTAATATTAAAAGACAGATTCTGATTTGTTTGAATATTTCGATGTGTGAAATGAAATCACCGGCCTGCTTGTGTTCAAAGAGTCATTGACAGTTTGTCCTTGTGATTTTAAGGCAAAGATAAAGAAGAGAAAACAAATTGCAATTTGAGGGTTTTGAGTGATGAATTAGGTGTGACAACTATGTCCAACCTATCAACTCAAATATTCAATATAATTTGATTTCGTTGCATAAACGCGTTGTAGGGTGGCAGGTAATTGCCACAGGGTATTTGGTAGAGATTGTGTACCCAACGGCCCATATATTATATTTAGCCCCTGTTTGCCCCCCATTAATTTAAATTTTTGGGGGTAGATAATTTTTAGAATAGTGATTGATAGGAGATGTGTGGTTGAAAAGTTTTTGGTTTGTGTGTATTATTATTTTATTTGATGAATGGATGGTTGAGATGAAGAGAGAGAAAAAATTAATGTAATGGAATGTGATATAATGGGGGGCAAACAAGGGCTTAATACATGTATCCTATGGTTGGACTTCTGGATACACATACACTACACATTTATGACATGTTTGATAGCCTATGATAGGGCTGTAAACAAAAACCGTCAAACCGAAAAATCGAACCGAAACCGCAATTTCGAAACCGGTGGTTTGGTGCCACGTGGACCCGTCAACGAAATTGTTTTGAACCAAACCAAACCGGTCAAAAACGGTTTGGTTTAGGTTTCAGAATTTTAATTATGGTTTGAAACCAAACCGGACCGGCGAAAAATATATAAAATAAAAAAATAAAAAATTGATTTTTTTAAAAAAATTTATCCAAAATTTCAATTTTGTAAAATTGAATAATTTTGTCATTTTGTAGGTATTTTTGTCAATTTCTAATTTTCTATTAATTATTAAGATTTATGACCTACCAAACCTAATTATATATATAAAAAAAGGCCCAAATTTGAAAGNAATTTTCTGAGATTTTTACCAAGTAAATTCTTAACAATGTCAATCCGACATAATTAAGAATTAGGAAACTATAAACCCACAGACTTTTTACATTGTTTAGACAAGAATTAGTACACGATTATTTAATTTTAAAAGACATAGATTTTGACATGTTCAAGATTCTGATTTATTTGAATATTTCGATGTGTGAAATGAAATCACCGGCCTGCTTGTGTTCAACGAGTCATTGACAGTTTGTCCTTGTGATTTTAAGGCAAAGATAAAGAAGAGAAAACAAATTGCAATTTGAGGGTTTTGAGTGATGAATTAGGTTTGACAACTATGTCCAACCTATCAACTCAAATATTCAATATAATTTGATTTCGTTTCATAAACGCGTTGTAGGGTGGCAGGTAATTGCCACAGGGTATTTGGTAGAGATTGTGTACCCAACTGCCCATATATTATATTTAATACATGTATCATATGGTTGGACTTCTGGATACACATACACTACACATTTATGACATGTTTGATAGCCTATGATTCACAGCCCGGCTGCTGAGGCCTTTCAAGACTCCATTGTCGTCTGTCATGGTACGTTTAACCATAACACAAGGCAATGTGATAATGATACTATCGAGTATCGAGTATTGCATATCAAACCAATCTAGTCAAATGTGTACGTAAGATTGTTTTGACTCACCAAACATACCCCCAAAATATGGTCTCAGGGGCACTCAAACTGGCTGAATTAGGAATATAAACAAGATAATCCATCTCCTTGAAAGGGAAGCACAAGGAAACAATTAAGAATATCAACTTCTGTAACATCGTTAACTCAGAAAACGACCATTAGTTACAAAGACCAAATCAACCCAATAAAATAATTGCTTTGACTAAGATTTACCTTCAGACCAGGACAACAAATCTCAAATCTGTGTCGAATGAATTTTCTTTCGGGTTCAGTAGGAGATCAAATAAGGTATGGTATTGCTCTCAAAAAAATCCATGTCAAATAAGTCTTACAAGCTAATGCTCAAAATGAATAAAGCCCGAAGCCCAAATATTGGAATAGAATGTTGACAGTCGTACAATATCATTCTTAATTAAGCTGCGACAACATTTAAAATACTAAGGAAATTACCGCTTGCCACCACCACCTCCAAGCTTAGGCCCCTTGGGCATAGCACCCTTGGGCACGTTGCTCTTGGAGGCCTTCTGTGACTTGGAAATCAACTCAGCCTTCTTCGCCTTCTTCTCGTCCTTGGTCTTCTTTATTCTCTCCTTGATTTCACTGAGCGCAAATGCTATGAGTCACAAGGAGTTCTATTAAGAGCATTTTTTGGCTATGCTTAAGTTTACTGATTTTGCCAAAACATGATTTTGAAAGTTAATTTTTTCTAATAACAAAACTTACTTTAGCAAAAGTAACTCGTAAACACAGCCAAACATGCTCTAATATATTACTGAAAGCATACTCAAATGCTTCTACATTCATGAGAACATCAAACATTTGAACCATTAACATACCGTAAAGCAGCTTCACGTGCAGCATCACGGACTTCTGGCTTTTCAGCTCTTTTCTTCTGGATGACTTCCAAGGTTGCACCAACAATTGATCTTGAGTAGGGCTTCTTGGTGGTTCGGCGCCTCTTCTTCACAGTTTCAGCAGCAATGTCCTGTGGATCAGTCAAGTCACAAGAACCATCAGTGACAACAGGATAATTAAGGAAGCCAATTCATCTCAGACACAAAAGAAGGTTAAATGAAAAGGAATTATCAACTAAATTTCACCTTCTTATGTTGTTTCCTGTACACAGCAGTCCATGTAAGCTTTGCAGGCCTCAGGCGGTTGTGAAAATACCTCTTGCATTTTGAGTTGGCAAAGAGGAAGACCTTCATCACAAAAGAAAAAAACTTCGTCTTCAGTCCCAAAAAAGGGGGAAAAAATCTTGGAGTGTGTTTGATGGATATTACTGAGGAAATAATGTATTTTAAATAGTGATATGATGGAAAATATGTGGTTTGAAAAGTAAGGAAAAATTATTGATGTGATGAAAAATATTATTTTATTGAAGAATGTGGGTTGAAAATGAATTTTTTGAAAGAATGTGTGTCAAACAAGGACTTGGTTGAAAAGTGAAAACTGAATATGCACCTTCACAAAATGACATAAATAAAGTAGGAAAAACATAAAATGTATATAATACACAAAAAAAGAAACAAAATAGTTAAACTTGATGAGCTAAGAATCTAAGCAAAAGGTAATAATGCAACAGAAATTGAATAATCAAGCACCAAAATCTTAATCCACCTGTGAATCCGAGCGAATAAATCTGATACCCTTCCCTGGGTATATCTTGGCACCACTGAAGCGGCAAAGCTCCGTCCTGATTACCCACAATTAACAGGTGAGTCGAACAGAAGTAAATTAACTCTGAAATAAAACGGCAAATCTAAATGCAATAGAAGCAAAACTTACCGAAAGCAAGCCCCCTCCCACCCCCAACAACAATACCAGACTACATACAAGGTAAACGTGCAAAAATAGCACTGTCCATTAATCATATAAATATACCATTCTATGCTCTTTGAGAGCCGGTAATTAAGAATTTTTCTTGGCAAAAAGATTATGAATTCAATATGAAGCAATGATGAGGCTTTATAATAGCATATATATTGCACCACCGACATCGCATGAACTCTTTGAAACACATCAAATCCAACAAAAATCATCAAAATAAGACGGATGCATTCTATATTTATATATTTTTCAAATGTAAAACAAACAAATTCTAGATTGATGCATCCATTAGAACACCTAATGCTACTGTCTAGCCACAAAAATTCATAAATTCCCCCAACAAATTTAAAATCATACTGCAAAAACAAGCCATTAAAATTCCAATATTTCCTACATCCAATAAATAATTTACAGCCAACATTAACGCTCAATTTCTAGCCACACCACAACCATTTGTATTCAAAATAGTAAAACCCATCCTTAAATGCGACACACGATATATACTAGATCTCTAAGTCAAGAATCGGATTACGCATCGAAAGAAAGAGTATGAGAAACTCACTTGAGAACCATTGTTACAGTAGCCTAGCTCGCCGCGCTTCGTTTACTACTAGAAATGCAGAAACCCTATTTCCTGGTTTGCATATATATTGAAAGGCTACACTGTGTCAAGATTGATATTGGACCTTCCATTGATGGGCTCTTAAAGCTTATATATTGTTGGTGGGCTCAATTTACTAGCACCTCTGTGGGCTCCAGCCCTGTTAAAGCCCAATAAAAATTAGCCTCCACGACTATGATAGCAAAATATCCCGCCTTCGTCCCAAAACCACTCGACTCTTTTA